TAAAAATGAACACCACAACCCCCAGATCTTAATCCCATTGAGTTACTATGGAAAGATTTGCAAGGAATGTGTAAGAAGAGCAGCAATCTCCTATAAATAACCTTTAGCACATATAGCAAATGAAATAGAATGCAACAACTTAAAACACTTCATAAACTGATTGATTGTATGGTGAAAAACTGTGATAAAAGCTGAATAAAGAGTAAAAAAAATTTTGACAAATGTGAGCTAAAATTAGAAATTATTGATAAAAGATTTTTAACAATTTTTAGTTTTTGTAAACACAACAATTACAGTAAAAATTAGACTTAAAAAGTTTTACTTATTACCTGCCTTAAACTTTTTGTTAGTAGTGTGTTTGTTTATACAGCCTTGGAAATAATGGCCGATAAACCATCAATGATTGTCTACTTTTGGAAAAAATGATGCGTTGATCTCTCAATAACAATTCTGGCCAAAAAAATTTGACCGGCAAGAATTGTGAGGCAAACTTAATTATTTAAATATCTTCAAAAACAGAAAATTGAACTTATATTGTTTATTTCAGAAACCTATCAAGTGTCAAAAACATTATTATTATAGATTATGGTTAACTTTAGTTGCAGAAACACATCTTATGCAGAAACACGCCAACTAATAAGCCATTCAACGGGTTGTATTTTGTCTTGAAATTTTAATTTATTGCGGAAACCAATCAAGTAAAATCACATAACAGTTTTCTGTAGTATATTTTTCATTTTGCATACATAACATGAAAACAAAAAAAGCTAAAATTTACATTTTAAATTTACAAAGGTGAGGCCGATAAATCACCATGGAGGCTTGCTCCATAATACTAAATTTTAAAAAAAAGAAGTTCTGAGTTGAACTAAGCATGTAGTTTTTTCAGCGATGGTCTAAATGATTTTGTGATGAGTTAAAACAAAAATCAATGTATAGTGAGATTCTTGATGAATCTTTGTGATAGAGGAATATTCAAAACTGTTTGTCACTACTTCCCACTCAGGGTTCAATCATTTTTACAGTGAGATTGAGATTTTGGCTGCATCAAATGTGTTGTTTAAATAGTTGACAGAGTTAACACACTAAATTAGTATGCTGTAATGATTCTGAAACCAAGTAAATCAGGACATTTTACTGTTCACAAGTAACAAATAAGATGATTTATGCTTTTAATATTTGGTGGCCACAATATTACAAGAAGACTTTCAACTCAGATGAAACTTCTAAGAAGGAAACTCGAAAGGATCACAAAGTTCCTTTTAAATCATTCACCTTCAAAGAGGTTTATTACAATAAAACTGGAAAATTCAACTGGAAAAATAAAAATCAACAAAAAGAAAATAATGACCTGAAAAAGTGGGCCAAGTATAATGCAGGCTTAGAACACTTTTATGTGGAAACCCTTCACTGGCGCTCAAAACAAGTCACCTGCAACATCGATTTAGTGTATGACACTAAGTACAACAAATTCAAATTATAGTTTAGGCTTATATGCATAGAATTTATGTTTTATGTTATAGCTTGTTTTATTTTATCTTGTTTGTCTTTAATTAGGGTAAGCTCATAACTTATGGCCGGATTTTTTCAATGCCCCAATTTATGGAACCTGACTTGTTTAAAAATAGTGAAACATATATGATCACATCTCAATATTAATTACTTTGTATTAATACAGGTATAATGACTATAAATATAAAAATCTGTCATCTAGAAAGGTCTAACAGTTAGTGGCCTGATTTACAATAAACTTTTTCTAAATTGTACCTAGGGCCACTCTCTGAAAATTAGGTTTAACTCTATAATAAATAGACAACAAAGATAGACACATAAATTTTATTAAAAGTTTATTTAATCTTAGATTGTTTTCAACAAATTTATCAAGTTTTAGAATTTCAAACATTTAAAAATGTTTAATTGTGATAGTTCTGAGCAAAATTGACAAATAAGTCTAAATGGTGATTCCAATAAAAAAAAAAAAAAAAAAAAAAAAAAAAAAATTCTGCACCAATTAAAATTCACCTTGTGATCAAACAAATTATTTATCAGAGAAACACACATATTTACCTAGGTACAAACAAATTATATGGGTCTAGGTACAAGACTTGATAGCCTCATGAAAAACCTCATCTATCAAAATACTTAAATTGAAAGGAAACTTTTTGAACATCAAATTTAGTACTTAAGTAATAAACAAAATAATATACAGGAACCTATAAAAAAGCATTTCCTCAAAGATTGTAAAACAATATAAGATACCAGCAGCAAAGCAGCATTTTCGGATTATAACTTGCCATGGCAATGCTCTTGAAAATAAAAGCAGGAATCAAAATTAAACTTTTTTATAACTAATCATCTGACTCAGAAGCATAAATTAGAATATAATAGTTTTCAAATAAAGTGAGTTGACCCAAGGTATAATGAGGCCCTAGGTGCAAGAACCAATTTCTTTATTCTCCTATTTCTTTATTTTATTTCTTGTTTATGAATAAAATGTTTTTCATAAAAATAAAATTTTCTTAAAATAAACCCCAAGCTATATTTCTTTTTGCAATACAATAAGAAAAACATTAAATTTTTTACCAAGCCAAAATTATTACTAATTTTAAAATTATAGACCATAAAAATCTTTAGTTTATAGTATGAGAAAGAACGAAACTTTTATTTAATAAGCAAAAATATAGAATGATAAAAAATACCAAATGTATTTGATTGGTGGAATAAACACAGTTAGAGATCATTTAAGTTTTTTTATAATTTTAGTTCTAAAGTTAGTTTAATGTTAAAGAAATCCTTTAAATTATTTAGAGATAAGTGTTTTACTTTTTAACTATTATTTGCGCCTATCCCTATATAAATAAGGTGGTATGCATTTATTATTTAGTTTTAATCAAAAAAATTCAGCCTAAACCTTTTTTTAAAACATTTTCGTTAATATAAACACAACCAAGTGTCTCAACATTTAGGGATCTCTTAAATGATTTTTTATGACTGAACTCAGTTTTTTTGAACTAAATAAATTTGAAATAATAACTAGAAATAATAATATTTTTTTTAAATATCAAAATAAAAATTAACACGAACTTTTGATAGGTGGAAAAAAGATAGTTTGACAATGATCTCAAATGCTTGAGATCAATTTCAATATTATTTCATATATAGAGACACACACAAAATAATGTATACTTTCATTCATTGCATAAAAAGCTAAAAGAGCAAGAATGAAAAAAAAAACTTCTTTAAAATAACTTTTTTTATAAATATAAATAAGTATTTATTATCTTAAAAATTAATTCATAGTAAAAAAACAGAAAAAAAAACAAAACACATAACTTAAAATAAAAAGAACTAAAAGATTGGTATTACTTCTTTTTACGCTTTTATTTGCACTTTTTTTTTTATATAAGCTTTTAATTACACTTTGTTATCATCTTACTCATTTTATTTACATTCATTTTTCACATAATATTTTGAACTATTGCTATTTTTTTAAAACAATTTTACTGAATCCTCATCCCAACAAGACAAACAACCACTATTTAAATTGGCAACCACTATTTTAATTGAACGCTAACACAAAGCAAAAAAGAGAGTTGAAGCGCAGTGTAACAGTTGACTGTGACTTAAAAATTGTATAAAACAGGAGAGAGTTCCAAAGGATTGATGTTTGAAAAAATCTAGATGAATAAAAGTTTTTTGAACAAATAGGTTTCGTATGATAAGTCATACAAGAGTTTTGGTTAATGATAGCTTGCTTGAGCAATATTTATCATGGTAGAAAGTGATGCAACTTTACAACAATAAACAAGAGATTTAAGCTTGACAGCTAGAACCATTTACAATTCGTTTTAGGATCATGTCAAAAAGAGAAGTAAAAGTAAAAGTGTTGCTATTTAGTCCTCAGCAATAAACAACTGAATTTGTGTTAAAATTCACTAGCCACTGCAAGCCTCCAGTTATTACAAAAGAGAGATCACAATCATAATCAACTATATGTTCTAAGCAAAAAAAAAGTGATGAATTTGACAAGACTAAATTATTTATTTGTGTCATCAGAAAAATAGCATGACAAACTCATTTGGTAATGCCAAAATCATTAACACTTTTTTTAATACACAATAAAACCTTTATGTTATTACAGTAACAAGTTAGCAGTAAAACAAGAAGAAAAAAACCCATATTGGTTGTCAAAAAGTAAACTATTGGACTCACAGGGGGATATTAGACGTTTGTTAATTAAAGAGTCAAAGGTCTTGCTAACAATAGTGAGAATAATGTTTGAGAAATACTTAGAGTAGTTAGAGCAACATCCAGAGTTTTTACAGAGTCCAGAGGATAGCAAGATTAATTGTTAAATACTTTAGTGAGTACTACGAAGAGTTCTGGAGAGCACTTCTTTATAATCACAAGCTATAGAATGGTTTAAGTAAGAAATAATTTTAGATAGAAAAGCCAGTGTGATTTAGATTTCTAATATGAAAGACAATATCTCAGAGAGATTAACCGATCTCTCTGAGGCAAGCTTTGACACTAGATTATATCATTTTAAATCAATTTCTTGCAAAGATTAAATTATATTTTTTCCGCTCTTGTGAAAAAGAAAGAAATGATTGAAACTAAAAATTCCAGCAGAAAACTATAGGCTTGATTAAAACTATTAAGAAGGAATGATTCTCATATATGTATTCTGGGTATGTGTAGAAGTAAAAGATAAACCTTTTAGTGTGTTCGTAACATGGTCTGAACAAGCTAGAGCAAGACAAGACAAGAATCGTTTATTCAAAATGAAGGAATAGGGTTTTCTAGTAAATAAGTCACCAAGTCTGAGTAAGAAATTCAAAAAAATAAACAAATTTTTACCAATAACAACAATATTGGCCAAATAATAGAGAAAAAACTTGTTTTTTATATCAATTTGATCAGAATTAACACTGAAAAGAGTTTTTGTGCTTGATATACATTAATCAAAGCATTTAAAATAAAATTAGATTAAAATCAACCTTGATATAACTTTTTGGTACTAGCTTCATTTAATTAAATGAATCTTCACTTGTAAAAATATTCAAATAATTCACAATTGTATTAAACGTCATGTTAAATTAAACTAAAAAAATTAAAAAAAAAATTTTGATTTATGAACACAATTTTCAAAAAACATTAACGCGGTACAAACAATTTTACAGAACGCGTAAAAAAAAGACTTTTTTTTATCAAAGTCTACGTTATAAATATATTCAAATATAAAATGTGCGACATAAATCTGTAAAAACATATATATACGTTGTTGTTGATCTTTTGGAATACACTATACAAAATTATAAAGAAATAATTCAATAAAAGTGAACGTAAATTATATTACCGATAAGGTAAACTTATTACGTTTTTAAACGCAGTTAGCAAAATTAAAGTATTCAAACAAAACAAAAGCACATAACAATGACGTAAATAATACCGCTAGGGGGTCGTTTATATATTACGTCACGCTTTGGAGGGCGGGAGGAGTAGGCAATTTTGTGACTATTTGTTACGAGAAGGAGAGGGTGATCTCGATTTTGTGACGCAACATTTTTTTTTTTTAGGCAAGACTTTCTTTTAATTATAAGAGTATCTGACTGAACCAAAACCATCAGTTGATGTATCTAAATGTTGATTGTGAAATCAACTACGCCTAAATCTTACTTAGTCGATGTGCATACTCCATTAACGGAGTAGTTACAGCCTGTTAACGGACTGTTACGGCTGTATTTGCAGTGCACGTTCTGCGCTTTGAATTTATATATGGCTCAAGTGCAGAACTATATATAAAAAAAGAGTAGCTTTTTTTTTTAGAGTAGCTTTTTTTTTATATATGACTATATATAAAAAAAAGCTACTCTAAAATTTTTGGGGGCCCCTAAATTTGCGGGGCCCGGGGCTATAGACCCTCCTAGACCCCCCTTTATCCGTACTGTTATATATAATATTTTACATGTTTTATATATCGGACGAATAAATTTTTAAAATTGGTATAATGTTTAGTATAGCAATATTAATTTATACAATTTTCAAGGAACTAGGAGGGTGAAAAAAAAACATTAAACAGACTGAAAAGTACTAATTAGATAACTCACTTAATTATAGACAGTATTATATTTGAAATCGTTTTGAATAAAAATTAAAAATTTTGTAAACCCCCTTTCCTCCCTAAAAAAAATTAAAAAAAATTTAAGGGAGGATGGGAACAAAATTGTTGCGTAATATTGGGACGGGGGGTCAATAAAGTGTAACGGATGCGGAGGGGTGTGAGGGGGTCAAAAGTATCACAAACTGCGTGATGTAATTTATGGGCGATTCCTAGCCAGAAATGGTAGATAACCGAACATTCTTTACCGTTCATATAATTAAAGTAATCATTAATATAACAAAAAGCTTAATAAAGAGTTTCAGACTTGGAAGTGTATTACAAAAGATGAGTAAAAAATAATTTCAAGAATTTGTCTCTCAAAAATGGGAAGAATAAAAGCACAATTTTTAAAAAAATAAAAATATGACTTTATTCCTCAAGCAACGCGCCTGTTTTTTTTTTTTGCACATTGCACTCTTATTCTTCTTGCTTGCACACCAAAACGTCACTCTAAATAAAATATTTATTACCATTATAGTAAACAGAATCTTGAATAGTTTAAAAACGTCAAAATTAGAAATAAAATATTAAATTTTAGCGTCTAAAAATCGCTAGTTCGGAAATATGCACAGGCCAAAAAATTTATTTATACTTTTATATTTTTCACAATTACAGTGGCGGATTCATACTTAAGCTAGGCTACATAACTTTAAACATAGGGTGGAAAATAAGGGTATAATACTCAGGACCGTCCCAAAAAGATCTTTACGGGGGAGGGGGTAAGGAGGCGACGTAATAATGATAAAAAAGGTACTCGTTTACTGACATTTCCCGACTGCCTAAAAAGTGTAAACTTTTTAGGCAGTCGGGAAATGACAATAGGTCTGAAGGCTAAATTCGCGTATATTTTTTTAATAAAGTTTTCATAAAAGGGGTTAAGCACAACCTTCGTCCCCCTAAGGACGGCCCAGATATTAATAAGTAAAATAAGGAAAGTGCATAATGTAAATTTTTCAATGATGCTATTTTTTTGGAACCATTCCATAAAAAACAGTGAGTTTAATTATTTAAACTTTTAAAAAATAAATTGTAATACAGGAAAATGGCCACAAAAAAAAAGTTTTAAAGCTTAAAATACTTAAAACTTTTACATCAATGACTTGCGTGATCACGCAAGTGCGGTTGCTTACGTGAGCAACCGAAGAATTTGATAATAATCAAGCAAAATTTCAAAAAGTGTTCAACAAAATAAGTTAAACTTGTTCCTTCGACTTCTTAATAACAAAACAACTGCAGACATTATCTTTTCACAACTGCAACACCCGTTATTTCAACATTCGTTTGTTAGTGATATTCAGGAACTATGCCATCTTCAGATATTAAATTTTCAAAACCTAATTCAAAATAAAAAGAAGGTAAAAATACCACTTTCTAAAAGTAAAATTCCTTCCGAAGTTGAACGAAACTTGAAGTATGCAATAGAGTGCTGGAATGCAAAAGAGCAAAGAAGAGTTTTCAAGCAAATTCTGGAAGAAAACGTTTTTAAGCAAAGTCATCCGAAATAACTTTCTTATTTTTTTCTTTTTACCTTGTAAATTGGGTGTTAAATAAATAAAATAATAAAATGAGACAAAATTTTGTGTTGATTATTTAACTAACTAAAAATTTAAACAAAATAAAGAGGCCATTTTCATTAATCTGGACAAATTTACTCGGTTCGAACATACTGTTTGACTTGATGTATTCACACATAATATACACGAAAGTTATTAAATGATGAAAAAATACCACAAACGTATTATTATGTAATTAGTAATAATAGTAATACTAGTAATTAGTAATACTGAATTTATCTTAATCTCTCTCATCATTATTTGGACGATTTTAACCTCTAGTCCATTTTCTTGATACTCGATTGGATAATTTTTTTAACTTTTTAAGTTTTAGTTAATTTGGTATACTTAATAGAATTTTTTGTCTAAAAATTCAGTTAACATTTAAAATAGTTTAACCAAAAAAATATTATTTTAAATCATAAGTGTTCCTCTTCGTTAGTCGTATTTTGATTATTTTTACTTTAAAAAAAAAGTGTATCATCAAAGCAAGACATTTTTGAAAGTATTACACTATATTTAGAAAGTATTACACCAGTGCTTTTTGGGCCGTGTCAATTATTTAACAAAAACATTCAATTTAAAGAATAGTCTTGAAGAGCACAAATGTTTAATGCTTCATCAATCTTTAATGATAAAGTTAAAAACATAGATCATCCAGGTCATCTTTTAAAAATCCGGAAAACTGTTCGGGTAAAATATCCGGAATATATTTTCCTTTTAAATTTGTTTTCAGCTGAGTTGTTTTAAATTTTTTATCCAAACCTATCTTAATTTTTATAACTGATGAGTGAAAAAGATTAAAAAACAAATATATTACAAAAATGTATACCTAAACTTGTATGAATGGAAAATGTTTTTGATATCCGGAAAAACTAAAAGTTAAGAAAAACATCCAAAATTCCGGAAATATACGGAAAAAGATATTCCCTGTAAAAGTTAGAGAACCTAAAAAGAGTAATACTCATATACTCATAAAAGGTAATATTAATAAGCTCTACTCTTAATCAATCTTCTCATCAAATGATAAAACTAAATATTAGAGTGAAGTTTTATAAAGGATTATTTAGATACATCAACTGATGGTTTTGGTTCAGTCAGATACTCTTAAAAGAAAGTCTTGTCTAAAAAAAAAAATGTTGCGTCACAAAATCGAGACCACCCCCTCCCCCTCGTAACAAATCGTCACAAAAGTTAAAATCTCTGATTGGTAAAAAGTTAACATTTAAAAGCTCGCTGGTTCTCAGGAGATGACGTCTGTTGAAGTTTAATCCAATATTGTTAAGAAATAGTTACCACCTTTTATGAATACAAAAATGACTTTCTCCCAGCAAGCGCAATCAACGTTGAAAAACCGTTGAAATTTTTGGTTGAAAAATGGTTGATTTTTGGTTAAAATGGAAACGCAAATCAACGTTGAAACCAAACGTTAGATCAATGTTGAAAACAAACCAAAAATCAACGTCAGATTAACATTGATTTAGCATTAATTCAACCAACTTATATATGAGTTTATTAACCTTAAAAATATAGCTTTTTGCGCCGTGACTTTTTTTAACTCGAAAAAACATTTATTTTTTGTTCAATATTGTGTTGTTGTGAGTAAGAAAAGAAACAATAATTCTTCATAAACTTATAATAGCTGTCATAGTACAATATCTTATGCTGATGTACTGCATATCTTGTTTCACTTCATTATTCAGTTATTAAAATTATCAGTGTTATTAATTAACTTTATATTATAATACTAACTGTTGTTATAGTTTTACAAATAATCTGCCCTGTACCATTTTTTTAACGCAGGTAACTAAATTTTAGAAATGGAAAAGCAAATAAAACCAAAAAATTAATTTATACATTTAGAACAAAAACTTATACAAAATTAAAATTTTTTTCAAAGCAATCTTGATAAAATAATAATATCTTTATCACCAATATCAAATTCACATATATTTTTATTGCCTTCTGTCATCAGACTCGTTTTGATTTGATGCATGTTTTCCACGATCCAATCAATATGGTGCAAACTTCAAACACTCTAAATTCTAAATTATATCTTTGTGCATTGTGTCTTTTTGTTTAGGAACATCGAGTAATTGCATCTGAATAAAAATATCTTTAAAGTAAGTTACATTTGTACATTTTACAAGTATTATTATACTTCACATTGTTCACAAACGAATGTAAAAATTTATTAATCAATAGTAGGACAAAAAAATCAATACTGATCCGCGCCTAATTTATTTCATTATTGACTAAGATATTAACCTTTTTGGATAAAGACACATCATACATCAACGCATATACACACACATCAACACAAACCTTGGAGGCAGTTATACATCGCTTAAGTCAAACATTCTTTTAGTAGAACCGTTTTCCTTGGTCCCCTGGAGGGTCTAGATATCTGTAATTAACTGTATTTATACATACATATATGTATATAACTATATACTTATATATATATATGCTTATATACATACATATACATATATTTTCCTTGATTAACAATATATTTTTCTTGATTATCGGATATCGGAATTCAGGAAAATATATGCCAGAAGCGAATTTATTTATAAAACAGTATTATATGCAAGATAACTGTCAAAATACATAATTGAGTGGGTCAGAAGCCAAGGGGTACAAGTGACATTTTCATAGTTTTGAGATACAGCTGTTTAAAGTTAAAGTATTTTTGTTAAATATACTCAGCTGTTGTTACGTTTTTCCAGTAGAAAGCAGCACAGGGCAGAGATTCACTTGTATCCCTTGGCCACCAACAATTTTGTTGGCTTCTTCTATCATATTCTATACTTAACTTAATTTTGGTAAAATTGTCACTTGTACCCCTTGGCTTCTGACCCACTCAATTCATCAAAAATTATGAGGCTCATATAGAACAAAAAATGTATATTTAAGACAATTATATTTATATATTTATAAGTATATTTAAAATAATTAATAGACAAACGTAATTAATAAAATAAATTAAATTAACAATTGGAACAGTATTATTACGATAACAATAATTGCGTCAATATTTAAACACTATATTTTAGATACAATTTAGCTTGTGGGTTTTTATTTACTAAAAATAATGACTTATAATGTATATCTTTTTTTAATAATTTTATTTGAGGTGCTCTAAGAATTCTTTACGGCTTGTCACAGAGCACTGCGGAGGAACATTTAAAAAGATGTTCATGCCTCCTTCCTAACCGATATTGAAAAACTTAGGGTGGATTATTTTATATGTAAAAATAATTAGGTTAGTTAGGTACTATTTTATATTTAAAAATAATTTTTATTTATATTGAAATATAATGAAATTATCTTTGCAACCGTGTAGCGCAGTGGTAGCGCTCTTGCCTCAGACACAATTATTTTAATTTCAGAAATTAAGGGTGGAATGCAAGAAGCGAACTTGAGTCAAGTTCGACTTGAACTTTTTTTTGTAACCAATAGCGGCAGAGTATTTTTTGTGAGGAAAACCCATACTCTGTCGCTATTGGTTGCAATGTAAAGTTCAAGTCGCTATTGGTTGCAATGTAAAGACTCAAGTTGGCTTCTTGAGTCTTTACATTGTAACTGTGTTTACAAAGTAACTGTGTCTGAGGCAAGAGCGCTACCACTGCGCTACACGGTTGCAAAGATAATTTCATTATATTTCAATATAGAAAAAAATTATTTTTACATATAAAATAATAGGCGTTTTAAGTATTACATTAAGTATTAAGTATTAGATATAAAATAATATGCGTTTAAAGTAAGCGCGCTTACTTTAAAACATCTTGGCGTCGTCAAGAAGATGTCTTAAAGACATCTTTATATAGACGTCTGAGTTAAAACGTCTTTTAGCCTTATGATCTAGGCGTCTTTGAATGCGTCTCTTAGACGTCTTTTTAAATTTTACAAAATTTTATAACAAAAATAATAAGTCATTTTTTTGTAAACACAATAGCTAACTATACAAAGTTAGCAACGTCAAGCTAAAAAAATACATACCAATCCAAACAACGCAAAAAACATATGACAATATGAACTTTTCACTACAATGCTCAATGAACAATACAAAAAAAAAAACAAAAAAATAACAATAATAAAAAAATAAACAAAAAAACAAACAATGCAAACAGCGCACAAAATTACATTATAAAATAAACAGCGTACAAAAATACAGGACAATTTAAACTAAGCACAAAAATGCATTACACCATGAATGATGTAAGAAAATAATTTTAATGGTTAGGTAGAGTCATAAAATGACTCTACCTAATAATTAAAATCATTTTCTTACATCGTAATTATTTACCTAAACAAACAGACAACTTTGTTAACATATTAAATATATTATGTTTAATATGTTAACAAAGTTGTCTATTTGTCTAGCTAAATAATGAAATTTAAAATTTAAATATATATGGCTATAATTTTGTGCTTTAATGCTCATATTCAAATAGTTATTTTTATTTTAAAGTTGTAAGTGACAATTGTGCATACGATTCTGTTGCTTGCGCTGAAATGCTTGAATCGCTTGAGTAATAAGTAATATATTTAAGATGTGACCAATAACTGATGCACCAAGTACACTTTGACAGCTATATTTTTATTCATTATTTAAAATCCATATATCAAGTTTAGCTTTAAAAGAGTTTACAAAAATAGCATTAACGGCATCACTAGGTTGTCGATTCCAATAAAAAGATGCTTTGTTTGTTAAAAATAATGCCAATGAAAAAAGCTAGTTATTTTGCGATTATATTTTATTTGATGACCTCACGCTAATTGATAATTTTTCACTAATTAAATTTACTTTTTCAATTCCATTGAATAACTTGTACATTTGAATTAAGTAACCCTGAATCCGTCTTACAACTAAAGTAGCGAGACATTACTAATATGATCTTTTCTCAACAGTCTTAGTAGCGTAATATTTTTGTAGCACAACGCCGAACTTTTTCTAAAACGTTATTTTCTTTTTTATGACAATGAGACCACACAGATGCAGCACATTTAATTAACGATCTTACAAAGTTGCCTAATTTTTAGTAATTCATTGTTTAAACTTAAAAACGTATTTCTCAACATACCCAAAACTTTATTTGCTTTACTTAGAAATATTTAATTTTTCTATTTAGTCAGAGATTTTTTATGAGTAAACGCCAAGATTTATTTCAGCGTACTTAAGTACAGTGATACTTGAAGGTATATTTTGCATAAAATAAGTTATATTTTGGTTCAAAATTAACTTTAACAGCCATCTGTTGGACCAATTGACATTTATGTCACTTGCTTCACAATCAACCCATTATAATACTTTTGCAACATCAGTATACATCTTTAAAATATTGATAAAGTGCTCAAGCAAATTTATGTATATAAGAAATAATAAAAGGTTAATAAGAATATATTTAGTTGTGAGCTGCGGCTCACAACTAAATATATTCTTTGAAGATGAGACAATTTCTCTTATAACAACTCTTTATTAAAAATTTAAAATTACTTATAAATAGTTTTTTAAAAATTAACCCTACTTTGACAAAACTGAAAACAGAAAACTATCAAAATCCAATTTCATTAAAACAGAATCGGAAAAATATATAGCTAAAAGTAAGTTTTAAGTGCTTTAGTATCAGTTTCTAACTAGGAAAATAAAAGAAATGTAGAGCATGATGTAGACAAATGTGTAAAAATGTAGAGCAAGATCCTGGTGTAGTGGTTAGAGTTTTGGCTTCAAACCATAGTTTATAGGTCCATAGTTTGAAACCATCATTTTTAGTATGGAAGGAGGCGTAAACTTCCTGGTTAAATGCAGTTCTGCGGTTCTTTGTAACAAGACCGTTAGAACTTCTTATATAACTTAAATAACTATACCAAACTCGAATTCATGCCTGACAGGGCCTAGCCTTTAGAGGAGAAAAAATGAAGAAAACAGTAATTTAAAATAATTCTGAAAACAGATGATTTTTTTTACTCATACCTAGAGCTGTCAAAAATCGTTAAAAACCGGTAAAAAAAAAATATTTTTTTAATAATAAAAGTTGTTCTTATAAACAGTCAATATAAAATTTTCATTTAATGATGTCATTTATTAAAATATTTTTTTTCACTTATATTTAAATTTTATTTTACTTTAAATCTTCAGGTTACACAAGTCCCAAATGAACGCCATCAATTAATCACAAGCTCAGCAATCAAGAAAACGCAATCTGATGGTACTGAAGTTGCAGGTATGCACATTAATGCGGTTCATTACAATGTTTTTATGAACCTACAATATCTTTCTTTTTATTAAAAGTTGAATAATAGTAAGCAGAGATTTTAATCTTTTTATGGAACGATAAAAGATGTCAAATATAATTTCATGTCTAACATCTTTATTTGATGCACGTTTTTCTCATAGTATCTATTTAAATAATAATATTCTTTCTTTTTAAGAAATTCTAAATCCCAATGATCTCTCAGCCTACTTTAAAAATTAGAAAGTTGAGTTTCACAACAATTTTCTGGTTTGTTTGAAGTTATTGATGATGAGAATGATCCTCGGTTGGAGAGAGATTTTCTCAAAGATCAGCAATCTATTTGTAAGATGACCATAAGTCATACTGTAGATAAAGAGGCTGCAAGAAAACAACAGCAGAAAGAATCAAGTTAAAAAAACGGCAATTGGGAGAATCATAGTTTGAAAAAGTTACTTCTGAGAGTGTGAAAATTGACAAGGATGGGGACGAATGCTCCGAGGAAGATAACAGTTTTACAAATCCGGATATTAATTCAGATTTATTATCTGAATTAATATCCGGATTATAGAATATTATCTGAAATAATGATATTACCTATATCAAAAAGTATTGAAATTCTATACCAATCAAGGGGTCTACGAAATAAGCAACATCTAAAACAAATATACTTCAGTTTTATACAAAGTTACTTGTATTACGCAAGTATCGCATAGAGTAATACTTCTTAAGTCAAACTAGAAAACTCTATAAAAAACAAAAACATGCTTTAAGAATCAATATTCATTCATGCTTTAAGAACCATTATTCTATGAATTTTAAAAATAAAAATAAACATTATAAACCACTTTTTGAAAGTATGAATATTTATAAAATATTTGAGCTAAACATATTTAAAATTTTGTCTCATATACAAAAATAAGTTTCAACAATGTTCTTCATTTTTTCATGATATGAAATAAAACCTAATTTTAGATATAATTTGCGCACTACAGGCACCTTAATTTTTGTATTTTTATTTTAATTATAGCTTTGAGAGCATTTTTGCTTTTAATACTATTTGTTTTTTATTGCGCTCATTTGTTAACTTTTGTTTTCAACGTTATTGTAAAAAACTTAATATTGTAAAAACATGAATGTTACACAGCTGCTCTTGATGGTATGACCTTCTGCATATGGTCTTCAGCAAGTTTCCCGCTTTTTTTTAACTATAACACTGTTATTTTATGAAAATTTATAATATTTAACTTTTATACGTTATATGCTCACATATATAAAAATTTTATAAAAACTTTTTATAAAATGATTGAAATGAGTGCTTTATAAAAACTGAAATAAAAACTTTTAAAAACGAACTAAAAACTTTAGAGAGTAATTTTACTGTAATACACATTAACATAAGAAGTATAAATAGCAACATGGATATTACAAAAAACTGTTTAATGGTGTGACCAAAGAACAAAGTTATTCTTACCTTAATGGCGATGAATTCAATTTTATTACCTAAACTGTTGGCTAATGATTAATAAAGTAAATTTCAATTCATGAAAATTTACTAAATTAAAACCATATTTCAATAGTAGTCAAATTAAACATAAAAAATGAAGTAGAGCAGAACCTTGTTGTCGAACTAAAACAAATAGACAAAAAAAAATTTATTAAATAAAGAAATACTTTTCAATTTGCATAAAACAAATAATTTTTAAATGAAAATATAAAAAAATCAATACTAGTTTTTGTAGAACATATGAAATAGCAAACATAGAACTTAAAAACATATATACATACCAAAAAATTAATATGTGTTAGTTTGGAAAAAAATCAAATACCAATATAACATCACAATATCTTTAAATGAGGCTAAAATAATATTGATATGTTGGACTAATAACTTTACTAATTAAAGTAAGCATAACACTTTTATTCTATATTCCTATAGGAAAACAAAAGTCCGACAAGTTAAATATCAAAAGCTTTAAAAATTTCCAATTACAGTAAAATATAAAAATAAATTATATCATTCAATACCTGATTCAAATATTTTGTATTGCATGATTTACTTAGGGGGATGTGATGATTCAGACATTATACTTGTAAATCATTTTTACATAATTTTATAACTTATTGATATATGGTTGCATAATTCCGATTACTATCACTTCATGCCATTATCACACCGTCTTAATTTAAACGATTTACTAAGGGGAGGTAATAATTTTGAAACTTAAAGATGTATTTTTTTAAAGTATTTTTAATTAAATATATAACTAAAAGTTTATAGTTGTTCACTATTTATTGCATCACTCAATACCATTACCATTACCACACCATCTTTTATTAAATGATTAGCTAGGAAAAAGGAAATAATTCAGAGGCAAGTTTAGTAATTTACTCAGGGGGAGGGTATAATTCAGACAGATATTTGTAAATTAATTTTACATAATTGTATAACTAAGTTATTCAGTTTAAATAGAAATTATACAACTATCAACTAATTATTAATTATTTTATAGTTGTAGAATTTTAATCATTATACTGTAATAAAGATCAGACTGTCTTACATTGAGCGATTTATAAAGGAGAGGTATTAATTCAGAGAGATATAATTTATATCTGTTTGAAGTTTACTTTTACATATACTGTTATATAATAAAAGTATTTGTAAAATAGTTTCATGCACAAATAAATAACTAATTTGTATATAGTTGTTTATTTTCTATCATTACGACACTTTCTTATATCGTCTTTCTTATATTACTTTTATTTAAACTTTATTTCTAAAATTCTTGTCATCTAAACGTTTTTTTTTCTTTGTTTATGTTTACAAAGATAGTACGGACGTTTTAGGTACACTTCTAACAGTTATAACCCGAAAGCGCAACCTCGTTTTGATTTTTTTATAGGGGGATGGAATAATTCAGGCGGTGGGAATAATCTACTACATATATCGTTGATAAGTGTTTTTTAGATTTATGCAATTTTTAAAACTTTTAAAAGTACTCATCTTCTAAAATAGATTCAGCATAATTTTCAAGTTCGTGATCTTTTACAAAAGTTTCCAAAAGCATCACAAATATTATTACAGTTTCCTCCTTCTACAGCCATTGTATATTATGTTGTAAATATTATGTTATGTATATGTTGTGCACGGTCAATGTCACGTGATTGCATTTTCAACTTAATATAGTTTTTGTTACGCAAAGTTCCGAGTTTCCAAACCAGTTTAAGTCTATTAACTATGCTACAAATTATTATCATCTGAAAGGAAAACTAACAAAAGGGGAGGTGGGTTTATAACTTATATTAGGAATGATCAAGTTACCAAAATAAGAGATGACCTTTCGATCTCAGATGCCGATAGTGAGGTTTTTATAATTGAAATAGCTAGCAACAAATCAAAAAACATACTGGTCTCCACATGTTACCGGCCACCTGAAGGGTTCTATGAAAAAATCCCCAGGGAAAAAATCCCCCCGGAAAAAATCCCCCTGAAATAATCCCACAAGAAAAAATCCCCCCGAGAAAAATCCCCCCGAGAAAAAATCCCCCCGGGAAATATCCCCCCCCCAAAAAAAAATTTTTTTACATAAAAATTATCAATATGCAGTTATGTTTATTTCTTTATTTATTTTAAATATTTATATAAAATACTTCATTTTTCATCAAAATGTCAAGTTATCGCTATTCCTCGAAGGTAGCGAATGTGAAACTCTAACCCTAACCCTGACTTTTAAGCGAAAAAAATATTAAAAAAATAAAAGGAAATTAAGTGAAACTAGACGAAAACAATATGAATATATATATATATATATATATATATATATATATATATATATATATATATATATATATATATATATATATATATATATATATATATATATATATATATATATATATATATATATATATATATATATATATATATATATATATATATATATATATATATATATATATATATATATTTATTAATTATTTGATAGACTGCCTGCCCAACCCAAATCATCATTCAATGTAGCAGCACTCCATTGCGAGTCAGGCTATTTGTCAGTCGATGTAGCAGCACTCCGTTGCTATAACTCCGTTGCTATATACTCCGTCGGGCTATAAGATAGTTGATGTAGCAATACTCCGCGCATGTTTTACAGTTAAAAAAATAAATTTTTTATTTTAAATAAACCTTTTAAATAGAATATTAGGAGTTGGAGAGTTTTTTTTTATTATTATTTTTTACCGACAACCAGAAACAGCGCATAACCTTACATTTTGATGAAAAATGAAGTATTTTATAAAACTATTTAAGATAAATAAATATAACTATTTTATTAATAACTTTTATGTAAAAAAAAATTTTCTATTTCCGGGGAGATTTTTTCCCGGGGGATTTTTTCCTGCAACCCACCTGAAGGTGATTTATTTAAATTTTTTAAAAAATTGTGCGGCCGTGGCGCAGTGGTTAGAACGCTAGCTTTATAAGCAAGATATCCAGGTTCGAAACGAGCTTTGGACATATCTCGCGACACGGTAAAGAAGGAGGCGTGAACTTCCTGGTTAAATGCACTTCCACGGTGCTCTGTGACAAGACCGTTAGGACTTCTTGGGGCACCTTAATAACAAATTAAAAAAATTTTCCAATCATTTAAAACAAATTTTTATAAAAAACAATAATGAGCAAAAAAAAAAATTCTGCATTGGAGACATAAACATAGATTGTTTACAATATGATAAACATGCCAACACTAAACTTTTTTTTGACGAAATGCCTCAACATTTCATCTTCCCAATTATTAACAAACCAACCCGAGTAACTCAAACTTCAATCACTTCAATAGACAATATATTAACTAATTCAATCTTTGATACTTCTCTAAAGACAGGAATAATAAAGACAGATATATTTGATCATTTTCCTATTTTCTTCTCCTTGACGCCTGATACAAAATCTAATAATAGTTGTAAAATTAAAACTTATAAAAGAAAAATCAACA